CTAAGTGTAGTGAGCCGGCCAGACCCTCTAGTTATACCTAGGTGCCTCATTCACTCCATGCCATAATAATCTTGTTTCTCTACTGATTCTGTTGCTTGTTCCCAAAGGGCCTTGACCACATCTGCATTTGCTGGTTTTATGTTCTAGAAAGCTATTCGTAAAATTCATCTACAGCATTTATATATGAAAGCCTGAATCCTCCTTTCCATTTACGCAATAAGAGTCCAACTCTCACATCTGTATAAGAAGAAAGACAATATCAGTCATCCTTATATACTGACCTTTACTGCTATGCTGATTTTGCACAGTGTATTCAGCCTCGAAATTGTAGCTGTTGCAATATATCAACTCTTGTCCTGATCTCTATGATACAACTGCCATCGTTATACATATGGCAGAAAAGTTTGTCCCTTTTATCTGCATGGTGTTAGGTATTTGATTGTCGTGGCTATTAACAAGTGGTTACAAAATGAGGAAAGAGAAAACAGAAGAACAACAACTATAGCAGATATGGGCGTCATGAAGAAATAAAAACACACTCAGAATTTCATAAACCATGTTCAATATTCTAAAGAAAAAAAAATGTAAAAAACCCTTAGATTTACAACATGATACCAGTTACATCTGTACACACAGAGCAACATGAACGTGAATTATACATATTTTTAAAATATACAGCCCTAAAAAATGGGATTTGAAAATTGTTTAAACTTTGTTTCCCGTCTCTCGCCAAACAAAGCAACCAAGCTTAGTTAGAGATTACATAACATTACCGTATCTACCTAGTCGCTCTACTTGCCCGACGTAGTGTCATAAATGTTACACAACACAGACTGAGTGGAGCCCTTTGAACAGACCGGATCAGGGGAATTAAGTGGACAGGTAGTCGACTCTAGACATTACGGCCCCTGACTGGCGTTTCACACTTGTCAGTGATACTGGCTGTAGACCAGATGTTTACCAATGAAGAATGTTTGCTCAGAGTGGTGTCAGTAAGAATTGACTGACAGGCCCATTGATACCTATTTTGATCTGCAAGGTACCTCAGGGGCGTGGCTTAGATCCTCTTCTGTAGGGAGGTTAGAAACTAGAGAAGAGGAGGAGTTTAACCTTGCAGACAGATAGATAAGTATTTATACTACTAGCATCTGGACTTTACCTCACACACATACCAGCGCAGACAGCCCAGTTGCACACAGCTCTCGCTCGCTGAAACCGCCCGATCAGCCACGTGATCAGCAAACGAATCAAGTCTCGCTGCATGCTCAAACCAAATCAGCTTGCGATGTTTCACCACTGCTAAGAAAGGCTCCTGGCGTTCTGCAAATTTGTTTATTTTGTCTCTTACATATTTGCTGGTTTTGAGTTGAGTTGAGTCAAGAATTGACATCACAGCACTCTGGGCATTCCCATGTGTGCTCCGTTCTCATCTTCAGCAGCCAGCGCAGAGTTCCAAGACTGATGATACAGATCACAATCTGGCTATATGTCTTCTTGCCTTTCCTCTAAGTGTAGTGAGCCGGCCAGACCCTCTAGTTATACCTAGGTGCCTCATTCACTCCATGCCATAATAATCTTGTTTCTCTACTGATTCTGTTGCTTGTTCCCAAAGGGCCTTGACCACATCTGCATTTGCTGGTTTTATGTTCTAGAAAGCTATTCGTAAAATTCATCTACAGCATTTATATATGAAAGCCTGAATCCTCCTTTCCATTTACGCAATAAGAGTCCAACTCTCACATCTGTATAAGAAGAAAGACAATATCAGTCATCCTTATATACTGACCTTTACTGCTATGCTGATTTTGCACAGTGTATTCAGCCTCGAAATTGTAGCTGTTGCAATATATCAACTCTTGTCCTGATCTCTATGATACAACTGCCATCGTTATACATATGGCAGAAAAGTTTGTCCCTTTTATCTGCATGGTGTTAGGTATTTGATTGTCGTGGCTATTAACAAGTGGTTACAAAATGAGGAAAGAGAAAACAGAAGAACAACAACTATAGCAGATATGGGCGTCATGAAGAAATAAAAACACACTCAGAATTTCATAAACCATGTTCAATATTCTAAAGAAAAAAAAATGTAAAAAACCCTTAGATTTACAACATGATACCAGTTACATCTGTACACACAGAGCAACATGAACGTGAATTATACATATTTTTAAAATATACAGCCCTAAAAAATGTAAATAAGTATGCTTATTTCTAAACAAACCACGATGATATATACCTATTAATTTATCAACTGCAAGTTGTGGTTGCATAGTGGCTAGATGACTGCTTGCTAGCTTGAAAGTCTCTGCTTTAAATTCGCATGTGAGCACATTTTTATAACCGACCCAATTTTAGTCTCCCCATATGGATTCAAAGCCCTGTTATTTAGTTAGTTGCATATCCTTTACAGAATGTTGCAGAACCAAGCCCAGCATTTTTGGGGCTGTTATGGATTTTTTAGGGAGGACAACTTTTATGTTCAGTAGCTTGCCACTGTTCCTGAAAGGTCAGCTATTGTGGTGCCACTGTCGAAACCAATGCTTGACGAACCGCCCGTAGCTGAGATCGAACCCGGCACCCCAGCATTACGAAGCCCATTTACAACCCTGAGTCACAGACGAGCCCCATTTAGTGGGAAAAATAAATAGACCCCCCCCCCTCCTCGATAAGCACGTTATAAAAGGTCACTACTATCTGGGGGTTTTCCTTTGACATCGGATCTGTGGAATGAATGTGCATGCAGATATCTAGTTCTGCAACAAGACTAAAAATACCCAGAACATTCCATCACAATTACAACCAGCAAACAAGAAGAATGAGAAGTAGTAGGCTGAGTCGACCTAGGAGCCAACTATGGCTCCAGTTTCCTTGTAGTAGAGAATGGAAAACACTGAAAAGTGTAGCGAATAGCAAAGGGAACCGATTATTTACTAGAATAAGGGGACAGCTCAATAAAATTGAGCAGTGCATCGCATTATCTGTCCCATCAAATGGAAATGACTACCAAAGACAGAAGTCATAAATCATTCATGTGGAAGGTGAGAGAGAGAAAAAAAACCACCAATTGGGTTCTCAAAATAGAGTTAAAGACTGGTTTACAGTTACACAGGCTAATATTTTTTTTTTAGCAAACCCTTGGTCACACACCACCCAAAGGGTCTCAGAATCCCACACATGGAAAATCATGTTTTTTTCCCGGCCAGGAACTTTTCACTAAAGCAAACTGAATAACGTGACAAGGCAAGTCAGTTTATATTGTGCTAAAAAAAATTAAGGGTGGATGAGAATCAATTTAATATAATAAGTCATTCAAATTTTATGGAAAAAAATTAAGTTCATAATGCAAACATTCCCCCACCTCAGTAGTCAATGTGCTGACATAAAAACTGAGTTCCAAATGATATAAAACTGAGTTACGACAGTTGCCATGATTATGATAGATGAGAAATTTACAGGTTTCATACCAATAAATCTACAGCTCCCCCCCCCCCCCCCCCCACAAAAAAATCCCCAAAAAACTAGAAACACATTTATGAGGTTTTCTTTGCTGATGCACTAATCTGTGGATTTAGATGACTCGTGAAAAATTGTGCAAGATGCTATGGATGTTGATGACTTATAAATCATCATGCAAGATTAAACCTGTCTTTGATAATTCACTGATTTATGGATGTTGATGACTTGTAAATCATCAAGCAAGACTGAACCTTTCTTTAATGATGCGCTGATTTATGGATGTGAATTACTTGTGAACCCTCATGCAAGATTAAATCTGTCTTTGATAATGCACTGATCTATGGATGTTGATGGCTTGTAAATCATCATGCAAGACTGAACCTTTCGTTGATGATGCACTGATTTATGGATGTGAATTAAAAAACAGATAATTTAGGAAATAAAGCATCCAAAGTTTAGCTACAATTAAGTTATGAAAAGACAAATATACAGAAGACCACTAATAATAGATCAAGCAGATGTAACACTAGAGACACAAGGAATTAAAGTAACTGATCTTCTTCTTCTTCTTCACTTCTTCTTTTACCGCTGTGGGTGTCAAGGGAGATATAAGGTTCTGTTTCTAGCTCTTCTGGCTGCCTCGACCATAGGCACATCGTGCTGTTGTAGAGTTTCTCTGATGTTATCCTTCCATCTTGTTCTTGGTCTACCCCGTGCTCTACGTCCTTCTTCTCTTTCCAAGTAACTGATCAATTTACTTTTTTTAGGTAGCAATTTTGACAGTTGAAGAAACACAAAGAATGAAATTATGACGCACACTGGCAAGGCAAAAGGAGCTTTTAAAAGCCTGAACAAAAAGTGGAACTCTGAACTGTACAGTTTTGAAATCAAGTTACGTATTTTCAAATATAATGTTATTTCAGTTTCAAAATATGCCACTGAAAGTAGGAGAACCAACCATTAAGACATGGGACAAAAGTTAAAACACATTTGAAAACAAATGCCCAAAGAAAATGTTGAACATAATATGTAATGAATTCAGGAGGGGTGAAGAGATAAGAGAAATGTCTGGGCCACCAAAGGTAACAACAGTTACACAACACAGAAGATGGTGCGGTGCTGGCCACATACCAGAAGTAACGAGCAATCACCAAACAGGCACTAGAATGGAAAATAAAGGGACTGAGGTAGGACACCCCAAAAGATAAGCAAAACAAAAACAAATGTTGATAAGAGAGAGGCTGGAGTGGATTCTATGCATGATTCTGGATTGACTGCACAGGGTAGAAGATAATGAAGAAGTATACTGTGAGCCCTGTGTGATTACATACATAATGACACAATAGGACATGAAAGAATGAATGAGTTACTTTGAAAGACACATGAAGTGATGCATGTTAAGACATCAAGGGAGAATTCTTTAGCCTTCTCAGACCAAATGTGGGAAATGTAATAGTGTACCAAGCTCTCGGCCATAGATGATCACACTTGATACACTGTCTGAGTAAGAAAAAGTGAAGGTTATTTTAGAAGAATCTGAACTAAGTGGCTGCGTTCTTGAATGTTTTACTTCCTGTAACTAAGCTCTCCTTTGTTTCTGTCTGCTTTCCTTTCTCTGCTGTCTGCTGTAAATTTACTGTCTGCTCTCCTTTACCTTTATCTAATGTCTTTGCTTCTTTAAGTGAATCTAACCCTGGAAGAGAAAGGTTATATTTAAGTTTCTGTGTGTCTTGTAGAGCCAGGTTGGTGAACTTTGCTGGACCTGAATCAAGCTTCGTGATTGATTGCTTGTTCAATGTTGTGGCGCTGATGGCTGTTGTGTTGATGAAAGGAATAATCGGTGTGGCTGTGCTAGCTGCAGGCACGTGAAAGAAATACAGCTGAAAGTATAAAACACACACATAAATAACATGTTTTAATATTTCTTACGGGTAGAGAGAAGGTTATTGTGTTTATAATTGTTGTTTTTATAAAATAACAAACACCTAAAGTTGTCAACTACTGCTCTGTAGCTTCAAGGCCAGAATATGGTTATCTCTGTGTGGGTTCTTGAGCTCCATTGTGCGGAGAACAAAAGAATAGGCCCACTGCTTCCAACAAGCACATTGTCGGAGTCGACTAATTGGGGACTTCCTTTGAAGTTGGAGTGCATCCGCCCGAGCAGCAAGGAACAACCAAATGCCCACAAATAAGCTAGTAAAATGGATGTACATGCGAAAACTCCTGGCACAAAGTCAATGTCCAAACAACCAGGACTTTCCACCCGAACTTAGCATAGAAGAAGCCGAAGAATACGGTTAACAATACCTATAGTAGCAGGGTTCAATTTTCATGGTGGAGGTTTAGAAAAACCATTCTTGTAACCTGTGGATAATAGTACACAAGTCACACGATAGAAAGCATTGGGGCCTCACACGATGGACAGGATTGGGGCCTCACACGATGGAAGGGATTAGTGCCTCACACATTTATTCTCAAAGACAACAGCGAATGCACTGTAACCAACTTCCACTGCGTATCCTTTAAAGGACATTGAAGAACCAGGCACAATGTGTGTTTGTGATGTCACCAGGCAATGTTGCAATCAAAAGTTTGCCACTGTCTGAACGGTTGGCTCTCGATAACACTGCCAAAACCAGCACAAGGCGGTCTCCTGCCAAATCCCCTTTTAGCTGGAATCAACAACTAACACCTCAGAATTATGAAGCGTGTTTGAAACTCCTAAGTCGCAGATGCCGACCATTGTGGAGACAGCTTTAAAAAAGTTGCTAAATAGTCTCTACTGCTGCAAAAATAGTTCTGAGTTTATACTAGAGACAGCATTGCAGATATAGATCATCTATTTCAAGCGAATAAAAGAAGAAGAAGTTCCGAGTTACTTGTAAGTGTATTGTGGCTTTAATATTACAATGACTGTCTCTCCATTTTGCAGACCTAATTCATTTCCTAGTGTGGATTGTGTAAATACTAAAAGAAAAAAGAAGGGATGCTACGGTGTTGATAATCATCATTCTATCCTGTATATCAATTCTCTTCTTCTTCTTCGCGTTCACCGGCTGTAAACTCCGGCGGAAAATTCTGGTTGTTCGTCCACTTCTGGACTGCAGTCCTGTTCCAGAACCTGAGTGTTGCGTGTGCATCTGTTTGACAGATCTGTATGCAGACTGTTTGTTCCTTGCCTCTTAGGCAGATGCACTCCGACTTCGAAGGAAGCTTCCAATTAGTCGACTCTTACGACAAGCTTTTGGGTAGGCAGTGGGTCTATTCTTGTTTTTCCCATAGTAGGGCCCCGGAACCCACACGGGGGGGGGGGGGGGGATTTAAATTCTGATGCAGATGCTGTTTTATACCAGATGCCCCACAACCCAAATCTTCTCTATTTTACTCCCTCTGTTTCTCCGAATTTCACATCGCTTTCCTCTGCGACAAAATGCTTCATTCGCTGGCCCCTTGAATCCCAACCACCACGTAATGCATTCTAAATTTAGTCAGAAATTTAAAAAATCTGCAATTCCCCTGTTTGTCATTTTCACTGCCTCTTAGAGAAAATGTTGCACTCACAAAATCTATTTTCTAATGTTCTCATGTGATCACAATATACTAAACACATGTCTATTTCTGGCAGGCCACTTTCAATGTGTATGTAGCCTCTCAGAAAGTCAGGAATTCACATACGTTTTCCAGTATTTTAAATCTGGTCAGAATATACTGAAGATGTCTGTCCACTTTCATTGTGTATTTAGCCCAGCTTAAAGCCATACTCTTAGAGTTTTCATAGTGGTTAATTCTCATTTTAAGGAGTCACAGTGATACAGTGACTAGAAGATGCTCACCTACTGGCCTAAAGGTCTTGGGTTCGAATCTGCATCCAATCGGAGTTTTATTTCTTTCCAAAATGACCTTGGCTGCTAGGTCAAGCCAACGTAAAATGGGTACCAGGTAATGTTCTGGGAAAGCTAAAAGACATCTGAAGTAAAAACAGGTGTACGACATGGATGTCTTTTGTCCATCTATTTCTACTGGTTTATGAAGACAGCAACTAGTACCACCAGGAATGGAATTCAGTGGAACCCTAAGGAACAGCTTGATGACCTAGACTTCTCATCTTAGATACTTGCTACAAAGCTGACAGTCACAAAAATAACTACCAATGAAGATGTGGGAGCCGCCTTAGTGCAGTGGCTAGATGACTGCCAGCTGAGCAGGACTTGGGTTTGAATCCGAATCGACCCAGACATTATCACCCACTGAGAGTGGTAATTAGTTTATAAAAACACTCCATGTGAGCTCTGGGCAACACTGTGGGGAGGGGAAAGAATAAAGCCACCACCCCTAACAAGAGTATCGCAAACAGCGAATAAAAGGGGTTTGCTGAAGAAGTCAGAGGTGTTTGGCTGAAAGGTGCACACAACACAGACTAGATGTGAACCACTACATAACATGTCAACCAACCTTTTAACTCTTTCAGTCCCATACGATATTATAGGAGATGTCTCTAATTAGTGCACACCCAATAGAAATAAAGCACACATGTTTTACTTTCACGGAGGCAGCAAATAACTTAGAACATGAAATATACTATGTTGCATTTTTTTTAAAGTGCCAAATGTTTATCATAAAAATCAGATCACATCATGCGTTGTTTGGGACACATGGGCAGTAGCTGATCACACATGATGCATTGGTTGGAACTGAAGGAGGTGCAGGTGTACACAGAAAAAGGTTTATAAAAAAATATATTTGAGAGCTGACAAGCAATATGTGGCTTCTCTGGAATGGCCTGATTTGGTGCACCATCTATGAACTAAGAAACAAAGATGACCACACAACAGTGAGACTGCAGTGTTCCCACGAAACAAACCGGTAAGGCTAACCTGGTCAACACATGGCTGCAGAAGTCAGAACGTGTCAGCCAAAAGGCGCAAATATCAATGCAATTATATCTTTGGATGAATACAGAAGAAGATAATATGTTCGAAATAGATGACTATGTTTACTTTATCTAACCAGTTTATGACTTTAACAACAGATTACAGTGCTCACCACAAAACCTGCAGCCAATGCTGTATGCATAACGAAGATGAAGAACATCACACCAAAGGCTATCTGGAGAGAAAAAATTCACAACATGACAGCGATCAAACATAAATATTTGACAAAGATTAAATAGGAACGATAGTAAAAATATGGCTATGAGGCTGGATAAACAAACAATACAAACAAGATTTTTCTTTTTCTTCTGTGTTCTTGTGCGTCTGTGTTGCATGTATTCTTGCACACATATTAGAAATTATGCATTTGCCATTCATGCTTTAGTATTTTTCTGTACATTCATACTATGAATGTTGATATTTGAACACATTATGATTGATTTATAAAACTGAATTGCCCTGTGAAAAACGAGTGTTTGGAAGAGCCAGCTGAAAAAAGAGTGTCCTGTGTATCCAATTTTTAACCATTTGGAAACAAATTTGTTCTTTTGTTTGTTCATGTTTACCTTTAAAAAGGTGACTGTTCTGTTATGTTATGGTACTTCTGCCGTTAAGCATCGTGGGGAAGTATTTTGCCATTCAATGCACACTGGCTGGCAATGGCTGAAGGTGTAAAATGAGTTTAAGTTTGTTAATCCTATTGTTTGTGACCGTCCTCTTGTTCTTGTAGCTGATCTTTCAAGATGTAGTGTCTGTGATTGATAGTATTTAATGCTGCTGCATTCTAATGAGATGGCCAAACTGCCTGTTTCTCGATGAATCTAGTACAACGTGTTGCCCTCGCAATCAATCTGTTTGATAATATCATTACTGACTCGCTCTCGAATAGCTTGGCTCGTGGTTTTTCTCAGGCATCTCATTTTGCAAGTCTTTTCTATACACACGTTCATTACTGGCTGGAGACTGCAACTAACGTTTTCCATGAAATGAGGCCCCCAGCCTGAAATCTGTTAAGCTGCTTCCTATGACATGCAAGTGGCTTAGTGTTATTAATCTTTCCTTCCTTTTACGGACCCCAGCAATCCAAAGGCATTTGTGAGATGATGTTTCATTATGGAAAATACTGGCAGAAAACCATATCAACACTGTACTTCAGGAGTACATGAAAAAGCACTTTACTTACCTTCTTACTGTCCTCACTAACTGTTGGCCAGAAGGTTAGAAGGAGGACACTCCCTGATAATACTGCACCCACAACTACAAGTGTCCACTGCAACCAGGACACCTGGATGGCCCAAAGTACCTAGAGACAATATCAATTTGCATCACTACTAAATAAGAAATAAAGTAATACAGTTTTCTGATAAAAAAATGACTAGAGTAGAACTGAACCGCATCAAAATAAACTCCCGATTAACATAGAAAAAAAATCTGAGTCACAGCAGGGATGTATTATTCATAATACACTTATTAGTCCCCAGTTAGCATATATTTTTTGTTTAAACCATGAACTCTGGATTCTTTAGCCCCTTAGAATTTGTGTTAACAAGGTTTCACTGTAGCAGGAAATAACTATTTAGTGCCAAAGTATCACCCATTAAAACTCCTTAAAAAAAACAGGTCCTTTTTACGTCAGGGGTGCATTGAGCATATGGTGCCAAAGTCCTAATTTTAAAATCAATCAGCACTTGATGGGTGATGTATTTCTAACACGCTGGCCACTTCTGCTTTCCAGGACAGTTCTTGTTATTTTCTCTCTCTCTCTCTCTGTGTGAGTGCACATGCCTGAGAGGCAAGGAGCCAAGAGTCTGTGTATAAATAAGCCAGATCTCTAAATCAGATGCACATGCAAAACTCAAGTTCTGGGTAAAGACTAAAGTCCAGAGGTGAATGAACAACCAGAACTTTCTGCCAGAGTTTACAGCCGGTGAACGCTCAGCAGCAGTCATCCCTGTTGTCCATTTTAACTGGAAGCCAAGGTCAGCTATAAAAACTCCACCTCGAAATGGATTCAAACTCAAGACCTTTAGGCTGGTAGGCAAACATCTAGCTGCTGTACCATCTCAACTCCCCAAACACATTATGAAAGCAATGTTGGGAAACATAAATTTAAGTCTCAAAATCTGATTAATTGACATTACATTTTTAAAAAGTTGCAGAAATAAAACTCACAGAGATTGGAACATAGATTGCCAGGGAATATCCGTACACACAGATGATCTCCAGGAATGTAAACTTGGCCTGGCTTCCTCGCCACCATAAAATTCCAGACAATATCAGTGGAATCAGCCACCAGTAGCCAAAGATGGCTGTAGCTGCAAAGGTCACTGGGAATTATAGAAAAACACAAGTTCCACAATTAATGTTCGTATGTATGTATGTATGTATGTATGTATGTATGTATGTATGTATGTATGATGTATGTATGATGTATATTGTATGCATATATGGGGACAAAGAATTGTAATGTCCTGCAAAGTTAAGGCAGGCAGCGAGATGCTGACCACATCCCCCACTGGGTGCTGATAGCTCTATCAAAATCAGGTCTAGCATCATATGTCTGAAACTCCCATGTGGGTTCTGGGGCTTCATTGTGGAGTCTGTCTGTGAGGCAAAGAACCAACAGTCTGCACATAAATAAGCCAGATTGGCAAAATGGATGTACATGCAAAACTCAAGTTCTGAAATAAGACCAAAGTCCAGAAGTGGATAAACAACCAGAACTTTCCACTGCAGTTTACAGCCGGTGAACGCTCAGAAGAAGAAGATATACCTGATGCGCTACTGGTTTAAACAGTCCTTTACTTATTTAAAAAGTGAAAATAAATCGTTTGGACATCTGTCATTATTACAGATACCAGAACAGGAATCACAAGAATAACTGTGTACACATCCTGCGAATACCTAGTAGTATTAGAGGATAGCCTCAAACACGTACTGTGTAGGAATTTGTGTGCAGTTGTTGTGCGGTGGATAATTCCACTGGCTGAACTAAAGCAGTGGCCTGGAGTCATAGATCAGCATTGATTTGTTTTCCTGAACAGTATAGATCTAAATGTGAAAGTCTGGGAGAGAACACACAAGTTCTAGTGGTCGCCAGGGTGAAAAGGTGAACTTTTTATGTAGATCCAAACCCCTACCTTTCTTGATTCTGTTTATAAACTTGAAATTACTTAGACATTTTAACTGTCATTTAAATATCACCCTTTGGTCTAGTAATTATTTAAAAATAAAACTAATCCACTTTTATGGTAAACATGAGCATCTAGTATAATTGTTAAAACCTACTGACAAAATATACAAAACTTGCAGATTATACTTCATTTTACCCACATATATTTCTTTTTCACTAGTGCTTTACACATTACCTTTATGAAAGTCATATTTCCAGTTGTAATTTTTCCCAGCTAAGCTGAAGTAGTTGGCCAAATTTCCAGCAATTGCCGTAGTGAAAACCAAAGTTGTACAAATCCAAAATGGCCCTGTACGAGATTTAATAAGCAGTTATAATAATGCAGAGTAAATAATTATCTTTTAATCTTAAAAAGTACTTATCTTATATATGCACCTCTAATTGACCAATGTGAAAAAACACAGATAATGAAATCCTTACAGAAAAAACCCCTTATGCCTACAATTTTACTTTCGGGTTAAGAAATGAAATTTAGTTTAAAAAAAAAAAGTAAGTAGCCGGACTCATATTTTTGCAGATTACTTCATCCTTTGTGGGTGATATGGTCAACATCACAGCGGCCACCTTTACTTTCAAGGCCAATGCCTGGCACATATTTTAGACTAGGCTGACCTTGGAGCACAGGTCATTAAAAAAAACTCAAAAACTGTGCAGATTCGAACTTAAAACAATCTAACTGGTAGGCAAGTGTCTAGCCACTATGTTATTGCAGCTCCCAGACATGGAACTATTATTACTAAAAAAAAAAAAAGGGTGAACTTCTTCTTCTTCTTCTTCTTCTTCACTTCCTCTTTTACCGCTGTGGGTGTCGAGGGAGATATAGGGTTCTGTTTCTAGCTCTTCTGGCTGCCTCGACCATAGGCACATCGTGCTGTTGTAGAGTTTCTCTGATGTTATCCTTCCATCTTGTTCTTGGTCTACCCCGTGCTCTACGTCCTTCTTCTCTTTCCATGTATGCTTTGTATGGTATGGTGTCACAAGGCATTCTCTCTAAGTGGGCAAACCATTTCACTTGCTGTCTTTGTATGTAATCCAGAATTGGTTCTGTGCCGACTTGTTCTCTTATGATCTCATTCCTGATCTTATCTCTTATGGTCACTCCTACAGCCCTTCTCAGACATCTCATTTCCGTGGTTACTAATTTTCTGTTATGGTTTGTTGTGAGTGACCATGTCTGGCAATGGTAGCACAGAGTTGGAATAAATATGCTTTGAATAAGATGTCTTTTTATGCTGATTGGGATTGTCTTATGCTGTAAGAGGGGGGCTAGCTGTCCCAATACTTGGTTTGCTTTACTGCATCTAATGTTAATTTCTTTATCCAATTTCCCATCTTCGGTAAATGTAGTTCCCAGATATTTAAACTCAGATGCCTGTTTAATGCCTTTGTATTCTATTGCTATGTTTAGATCTGTCTTCTTTTTTCCTATTGACATTACTTCTGTCTTTTCAGTGTTGATTCTCATATTATTTGTTTTACATTCTTCATTCATGGATGTTAGATGTTGTTGCAATTCCATGGCTGTATCTGCTGTCAAGGCCTGGTCATCTGCAAAGAGTAATTCGTTGATCTTACTAAGATCTTCATTCATGGGCTTGGCATTCTTGCATATACTGTCGATGTAGGTGATAAACAGCAGTGGTGATAAGACACACCCCTGTCTTACTCCAGATGTCACTGTGAAAGGATGAGATGTTCCCTGATTTTTTTCTAACTACACTTCTACAATCCCTGTATAAACTTTTGCACACTTCGATGAGGTGTTCGCTAACTCCATATCTTGCCATTACTTTCCATAATAATTGTCTGTCGACTCTGTCAAATGCCTTCTCCTGGTAAAGGGTAAAGGGTGAACAAGTAATGAAAAGGACATTCTCAATGGAACAGCATACATGTATAATTTATGACAAAAAAGTTGTTTGTATATCAGTCTTTGGGATGTTGCAAAACCCTATAACATATTAGCTGTTCGTTGCTCTGCTAGACAATTTAGTGTTAAACAGTTTACCATTGCTTTTTAAACAGCACAATACTTGCAATATTGTTAAAATCAATGCAAAGTAGTTTTCTACCAAATCCTCTACAGTTGATGGTAAATACCAGTATGCTGAAATTGTGAAACTGGAATCACAACCATTCGCCACAAACACCAAAAACTGATGGCTAACAAAAACATACAACAGCATAGGTTGCTGTTATAAACTCACTGGCAATTAAAGATTAAATGACTGGTAAAAAAGGGTATTAACACTTTTGGTACAAGGCAACTCACTATACATTTATTAGTTTTCCTATAAATTGTATTCATTTTAAATCCTTTTGTTAGCTTCTTTTACGTTAAATCATTGTACCCCAGTTGTTACTTTAACCCAATCTGTTCCACAGTAGTAAAATTGTAACTCAATCATACGCAAAGACTTACTTTAGAGTATACACACTCTGAGACAGAACACACGCGTCAGAGATTCAACTGGCCAGACATATCAATATTATATACATGACTTCTCTTGGAGATACTATATGTAAGTGATTCTGTGTATTCTTGTTATTTATGTGCTGATGAAGGCTGAATACCACAATGTTCACTTGTCATGTGTGTAAGCGATAATGTGAAGCTTGCTGGATCTACTCTGCATTTGGTTTGATATATTTTGAGATAGAAAGTAAGAAGTATCTGGGACCGGAAGAGATCAAGCATAACTAACCATACAAATCTGGGTTTGGGCGTATCTGTCTGACGAGATAGTTTCTGCCAGGTTTTGGCAGCATGGATCCAATTATTCTCTGGCCAACTTGCTTTGTTTCAACATCAAAGAACTGCTGATAGTAAGCGAATGTCCAAAACGAAGCAGCTCTCTTCTCTTCATCCAAAAGCTAAAACAAAATATAGGATAATAACAGTAAAATTAACATGTTAGATACAAAACAGGTGATCTCTGGTCAAGTGGCTATTCTGTTTGTTTCATGTTCTGAAAGTTGCTGGTTCCATTTCAGACTGTCCCTTTTCCACAAGTGGAAGTGTTTCAGTGATCCTTGGGTGTTATTACTGTAGCAACAAAGCGAAATGCTCTAATAGGCAACAGCTACTCTGCACAGAAGACCGAACCACATGACACAAAAATCATGAAAATGTCAAACCAAATTCAAAACAGAATATTTGCGCCTTTAGGCTGACACATGTGACTTCTGCAGGCATCTGTAGCCTTTCCGGTAACACTCTTTAACCCCCCCCCCCCCCCAAATGGGGATGTGTTCTACCAAGATCAAAGACAGTGTTTGAGATCTAGTGCAGTCAACCTTCATTGTGGAGATGGCACCTGGCTGACTGATATGCACTAAATAATACTTTGGAATACTCTGCTCAATTCAATTATACAAGTGCTAATGTAAAATATATTAACTACCTTAGAATACAGTTTGCTCTAGAATCAACAAATGCTACTGTGATATACATGAAATACCTTGGCTTGGTCACTGCTTTCATCATCAGAGTCTGCTGCGGAATGTGGAAAGTTTGTGAACTGGTGCGTTTCTCCTTTTTCTGCCGTGGAACTGTCATGTGGGATATCTGTACAAATGACAGGAACACAGATGTAGCAAACACAATGAAGCCAAGAGAGAAATAAAGACTGATTCAACATCACTGCAACATTTGGTATTCTAGTTGTTTATAATACTTTGCAGTGCTGCTAGCTAATTTCTCTAAGTATTGCTTGAGAAGATGGCTTCTTCTGCTGTAGCAAGTGCTTTTTGCATAGTATTAATGACATTACTCATTTCCACTGCCCAGTCAGTTGTGATAACTACCTTGTCAACAAGATTCAGAGACTAACTAACCAAAAAAAACAAAAAAAAAACGAATAAGCTGATGAGAATGGAGAGGAGGAAGCTGCAGAAATAAAACAGAAAGCAGAAGAACAATCAGAAGACAGCACACATGCGAAGAATCTCACACATCTGATACTGATAAAAGTTTCAAAACTAGATGATCTGAATTAGAAACCGATATTACAGTACCTGGGACTTTCCAATACAAGCTCAGCCCTCATCTTCCCCAGCCAATGAAGAATTATAATTCTGATAGCATCAGCAGCAGTTCGATTATATGTCCATCTTGCCTTTCTCTGAATCTAAAGTGTCGGCCATATCCTCCGGTCATTCCCCACTGCACCATTCACTCCACAATGTGATGCTCTATTTATGCTTCAACACTGTTTACTTGCTCTGAAAGGGTCCTGACCACATCTAGCTAGTCAAAATGCTAAATACTTCCTAGCTCTACCAAGCTCCCTTTTTTTCTCTCACTATTTGTAATCATCTTAGCGCATAATAAACATAAACTACTGATAAGCTATATCTTGCAAACACACCTATGATATGATCTAAGCATTTGAAATGAACATAAACTACCCACAAGCAACTCAAGATGCATAAAAAAGATTCAACGACCAGGTTTTGATCCCAAGTCATCCCACTCTGATAAAACCAAGGTAAACATAACATCATTGTGGGGGGGGGGGGGGGGGGGGGGGGAGAGAAGAGGAGAGAGGGTATATACGACCAACTAATGGAACAAATAGTCATGTGATGACTGAAGACAAATAATCCATAATATTCTCTAATTGCAGTAAAAAAAAAAAGTAAAGGACCCTTTTTCCACGCCTTTAGGCGTATAGGTCATGTCGGGCTAGACCTATATTTTTATAGACCAATCGGCACAAGATGGGTGATGTGGTCAGCATCACGCCGGCCGCCTTTACTTTCCCGGGACTGCACCCGGTACCCACTCAAGGCTGGGTCGACCTAGGAGCCAAGGTCATTTTTGAAATAAGTCCGGCTCCTCCAGGGAGCGAGCCCACGACCTTCTGATCCGCGGCGAGCGTCTAGCCGCTTGGCCACGGCGACTCCCCTAATTGCAGTTTAGCATAGAAAATTGGTTTCAATGTTAAAAATACAGACTGAATACAAGCAACTGACATACTTTGAAAGCTGAATAAATCTGCACCACCATCTTTGGTATCAATCTGAAATGAGACAATGGTTTCATATATGTGTGTGTTAGTGTGCATGCATACGTGTGTGTATACATAGCATATTTGTACATCATGATTTAACTGAAAAACAATCATAAACAGAAAGCAGGTTTAGTGGTTTGCTGTTCTCAGTTCTGGCTCTGGCCCAAAGATCTCGGGTTCGAATCTGCATCAAGTCAGATTTTGTTTAAAAATGACCTTGGCTGCTAGGTCAGCCCAGTCTGATGGGTATCAGGTAAAGACATGGAAAGTAAAGGCAGCAAGCGCGATGTTAACTACATTATCCAACCAGGGCAAACTGCAGCAGTCATTTTAAGCAATTCAGATGTAATTGTATTTATCGTGGTTGTCCTGCTATTTAATGATAATCACCACAACGTGCTATTATTCTGTAAGTCTGTTTGCTTATTAACTTTATTTTATAACTGGTTCTGTAAATCTGACTAACACTGTGTGCCTGTCATTTTTTTTTAAAAATTTCCTAATCTCCCGATCTTTTTTAAGGATTTTAGATGGTCATCTGAATAATCTGATTGTTTTCACATGTTTTGTGTAGGCCTGCACTGTAGGAGATGAATAGACAATAAGGCTATTTTCCTAAAAACGGTCCCGCAAATTATCGAGGCCTAAAATATACCCTAACAGGGCCTCATTCACATGAAATTGCGGACCTCTTTCCGGCAACTATACTGCCACCACAGAGAGTATCTAGCGCGCCGCTAAGTGCGGCTAAACTAGATGACTGGGACTCACGAGCAAATAAAATGAAGGAAGCTGCAGAAGATGCGGTATCTGCTGCTCCTGAGTCCCAGCCATCTAGCGACCGAGATACTCTCGGCGGTGACTAACTGGGCTGGGCGGAAGCTTTTACAGCGGTATGCTGTGTAGTCGCCGGAAAGAGTTCGGCAAATTACATGTGACTGAGGCCCTGTTAGGATATATTTTCGACCTCGATAATTTGGGACCGTTATTCGGAGGATAGCCGACGATCAATAATGATAATATTAATATACTTATTGAAAAACGCTGAACAATAACAATACAAATTAAGGTGTCTGAGTCTGTTTGAGTGTGAGAGAGAGAGAGAGAGAGAGAGAGAGAGAGAGAGAGAGAGAGAGAGAGAGAGAGAGAGAGAGAGAGAGAGAGGAGTACACATGAAAAAAAAGAAATATAACTAACAGTATCAAATTCATCCACGTCAATAGTTGTTGACGACGCCATGTTTCTGTGTGGCAATTAAAGATACGTTAAACGAATGTATTTTTACTGAGGTAGAAAATTATAAATGATTAATTCTACTTCGTACAAAAAATATTACCCCACAATTCTTTTTACACTGCTGACAATTTCCGTAATTTAAAAATAGGTTTTTTAATCTCTAATTTTTACTTATTGCATTTAGTATAATACATTTCGTTTTGTTTCCTAATTTTATAAATATTTAGCAACAAAAATGGCTGCTCCCATTGTGATTTTTATGGTCTCTGGAAGAAAACAATTGAAACGCATCAGCTAAAGCTAAATGGTTATATATCAAGTCCAAAGCAGTCACAAGTTGTAGTCAACTATTTTTCTTCTTGTCTTGTTAGCAGCAGCCAAGCAACTTTTAAACTTTAATGTAAGAAAAGTTATAATTCCTACAAATCTTCTGCTTGTCTTTGAAGAAATTGGTTAAAACGCGAAATAAATCTACAAAAAGAGGAGAGCATAGGTAATTAATATAGGTAAGTTAAGTAGAGAAAGTTAGCGGATATATCTACATTATTATTATTACGTAAGTAAAAATACCACAGGAATGTTTTGTATGCCTAGATAGAGTGACTTCAGTGCAGCGTTTGGGGAAAAAGACATTTGTTGTTTACAATATAATAGTAATACATTTTATATTTGATTGAAACCGAAGTGAAGTAAGATGAAGTAAAATGTCGTGGATCAAATTAAAGAGAAGACAGACCTAAAGAAAAAGGCAGTTGAACTTGTCATCTGTCATAATATTTAAAAAATGCTTAAATATATTAATAAATAAAATAGTAATAATCAAAATTCGGCCACTGATACATGTCTGACAGTTTTTGAATAGAAAAAAAGGTCTTAAAAAGTGCTGGCTAGTACCGTGTACTGCATACAGCCAGAAAAAAGTCACACACACACATATATGTATGTATACAGTGTATAATACACACACACTTGAAATTTACCCACTGGCGTGCTTAATTAAGATACCATTAGATTGGATCTTTTGGCCTGTCAGTCAAGTACCGAGGTCCTGAATAACAGGATTTGCTTCACACAATGGAGATATCATAAACAATGAAGTTTTTCAGAGGTGAGGTTCTTGTTAGCTGTTGAATCCTCTTGTGGCTAGGGCCTGTTTGGGGAGGTGGGGGGGGGGGGGAGACCAACTGCTCCGCTAACGAGCATGTCATAAAAAGCGACTAATTAGGAATTATAGGTGTTTCCTTTCAAGTCAGAATGCATAAGAACCAACAGTCCGCATACAAATAAGCTAGATCTGTAAAATGGATGTGCATGCAGAACTCATTCTGCAACAAGACTAAAGTCTAGAAGTGGATGAACAACCAGAACTTTCTATCAGTGAAAGCAAAGTGTAGCCGCAACATTCATGTTTAATTTGTGTTTGTTATATTGTGAAGCTGGCTCATCTACTTTTCGTTCGGATTTATATCTTTTTTAGAAAAGACAGAGATAAGTGATAAGCAGACAGTGAGAAACCATATTAATTGAAGTAAATAAAAAGAAACCAGTAAATTTAAATATCTGGGGTCAGATTTAAGTATATGCTGATGAAGGCTCTATAGCCGCAACATTTATGTTTCATTTGTGTTTGTTATATTGTGAAGCTGGCCGATCTACTTTGTGTTCGGATTTATATTTAAAAAAAAAACAAAGACAGATAAGTGATAAGTAGAAAGCAAGAAATCATATTAATTAAAGTAAATATCATATATTAAAATAAAAAGAAACCAGTAAATTTGAATATCTGGGGTCAGTTTTCACATCAGAATGAATAACGGATAGAGAAATCAACATACAGTGTGCAAAAGCAAATCAAGTACTGGGACAGATAACATAACTTTTGACACATAGAAGTATATATACCTTTGTCTACAACGCAGATCTTATAAGAACTATTTTTTGGCCAACTTCATGCTACCAGTATCAAACATGGGCTGCTACTACAACTAATGAGCACAAAATCATAACTACAGACACAAGTTGTTGTAGAAGAATGGCCTAGGTAACAAGTAGAGATAACATTAAAAACAAAGACATTATAAGACTAGGATTGAAACCAGTTGTTCAATTTATTAAAGAGCAACCGATGAAATCATATGGCCCTGTCATGAGAGTGCCTTGGTACTAGCTGCCACAGAGAGCCTTGCTGAAGACAGCACCAAGAACAGACTTAGAAAAAGGAAAAGAAGATCAGCTTATACAACCTATTAGACAGAGCACACAGAAGATTATCTCCCTCTAACACATCGGTATGAAGATCAGCTTATACAACATATTAGACAGAGCACACAGAAGATTATCTCCCACTAACACATTGATATGAAGATCAGCTAATACAACATATTAGACAGAGCACATAGAAGATTATCTTCCACTAACTCTTCGATAAGTTAACAGGAGGCAGAGAAGAAGAACGTGAAGTAACATTCTACAAATTCATTGAACTTGCTACAAACTATGGAAAATCCTAAAGGATTATGGTATTCAAGGTCAACTGTTTTGTAACATCATGGCTCTTTATCAAGATAGTTAGTGCACAGTAAGTACAACAGAATGAATGACAGACTGGTTTCTCATCTCATCAGGTGTCAGACAGGGATGTGTCCTCTCACTATTGCTATTCATTACTTACATGGATAGAATTACAAACGAGGCAAATACAGACACTGGGGAAATCAATGAACTTTTTTTTGCAGACAGTCACGTGTCTAAAACACCACTAAGAACAGAATTTACAACACCATATTCTTCTTCTTCTTCTTCGCGTTCACCAGCTGTAAACTCTGGCGGAAGGTTCTGGTTGCTCGTCCACTACTGAACTGCAGTCCTGCTCCAGAACCTGAGTTGCGTGTGCATCAGTTTTACAGATCTCATTCTCTTGAATACAGACTGTTAGTTCCTTGCCTCTCCGGCAGATGCACTCCGACTTCAAAGGAAGCTCCCCAATTAGTCGACTCTTACGACATGCTTTTGGGGAGGCAGTGGGTCTATTCTTGTTTTCCCCACAATGGGGCCCCGGAACCCACACGGGGAAACACCATATTGACTCCTTACTTCAAGCCTGCACAAAGTATGACATGAGAATAAACACTGCAAAAACTGAGGTATTGAGGATTAGCAGGAAACATAATATCATGAACGTCCATGTTAACAGTACTACAATCAAACAGGTACAAGAATTTAAATATCTAGGAAGCATATTCACGGAGAATGGCAAACTCGATAGAGAGATAGAAGACAGAGTACAGAAGGCAAATGTTGTCACCTACGAGTTAAAACTACTGCTTAGACACCCTAATGTCTCCTTTCCAGCAAAACAGAAAATGATCAATAGCATCTGTATCTCTACTTTATGTTATCAGTGCCAAACATGGACAATGAATAGGGCACTAAAACAGAAAATAACTACATGTGCAATGCGCTGCCTCTGCAAGGTCACTAACAGCACAAGAAAAGACAAGGGTATGAATACTAGCATTAGAGAGAAAGTTGGAATAAGACCATGTCTGGATTATATAGACAGACAAAGAATGAAATTGTTCAGCCATCTTGTGAGAATGCAGGCAGACCAAACTGCGTGTGAGACTTTTTCCAGCAGAACATCTGGGAGGAAGGCGAAAGGAAAACCAAGAAAAATATAGATAAATGGTGTAACAGAAACCTGCAAAAAGATGAACAAATCCTTCACTCAAGCCATCAGAGAAGTGCAAGACAAATACAGAAAACCAAGACAC